GAAAATTTACAACTGTCATTAATAGAGAAAATATCAACAAACAAGATGAATATATTACCCAGAATTTTATATTTGTTTCAAACAATTCCAATTAGGCTTGGAAAAGACTATTTTGAAGATTTAAATAAAATTGTGTTGAAATATATATGGCAAGGTAAGAAAGCAAGAATAAAGTTAAAACTTTTGCAAGATGCTAGAATTGGAGGAGGATTTGATTTGCCTAATTGGGAGTTGTATTACCAAGCTACAAATTTGATGTGGGTTAAGGAATGGATAACGTTAAGAAGTACTAGATTGTTGACATTAGAAGGACATGATCTGTTGTTGGGGTGGCATGCTTTTCTATAGTATAAAGCAGTGGCCCCCAATCTTTTTTGAACCAGAGACCGGTTTTACGATTATTTATTCTTCCACGGACTGGTACCTTCTACTACTAGTCCCTAAAGCAGCGTGGAGCTGCTTTAGCCGGGCTTCGCTCTCCCTTCTCAGTCTCTCTCACCTTCCTCAGTGACCTGTAACCCTTCTTCTTTCCAACCTTGGGCAAAATTAAAAGAAAAAGACTTGACACAGCCGGCTAGAAAGCACGCCCGAATTCCTCGCAGCTTCCCGCCTCTGCCTGCGAGGAAGTGGGCGGCAGGGGGTGCGAGGGGTGCAAGCATGGGCCGGGAAGCGGGACTGGTCAGGGAATGACCTTCCCCAGGAAAGTTGGAGGCACAGCCGCCGTCGCCGCAGTGGCTGCTGCTTCTTTGCGCTCTGGCGATGGACGCCGTGGCGCTCCTTCAATGCCTGTGCTCAATCTGTTCCTCCGGGTCATGGTGCAGCAGCAACAGCAACAGCTTTATCTGCGCACGTGCGTGTGCATGGTTTATGGGGGAGAAGGAGAAGGAGAGGAAAAGGGAGACTAGCGCTGGGGCATACCATAGCGCTCTTTTCTCCCTCTCTCCCCCTCGCGGCGCCCAAGCTTTGCGGCCCAGTTAAAAATGATCCATGGACCGGTACTGGTCCGGGGACCAGTGGTTGGAGACCCCTGGTATAAAGGAACTAAAACACAGAGGTATTTTAGAAGACATTATATATGGGAGTCTCTGTGGTTAAACTGGGAGAAGATTAAAAGACAATGTTATTTGAAAATTCCAGTCTGGCTATCGACTATTGAAGCATTTTCTTATCCTATAATATACAAAAAGGAACAAACAGTTAAATATGGTGAAATATTGAATGAAAAGGGTGAACTTAAATCTATACAAAAACTAGAGAAACAAGGTATAATGATGAATTGGTTTTTATATGCGCAAATACATTCAAGGTATGATAAAGATTCTAAAATGGAAGGTTTCTATGATAAATCGACTGATTTAGATAAGATTTTGACAGATACTGATGAAAAGGTGATTAAAAATTGTATGGATATTTATTAGAAATTAAACAAGAAGAAGAACAAGTGAAAGAAACTATGATTGCTTGGGGGAAGAGTTTTGGATATGGGATTGATTTAGAGAAATGGCAAAAATTGTGGTCTCAAAAATGACAATTTCAACAGCATATAAAGAAAATTTGTATAAGATGTTTTACAGGTGGCATTTTTCCCCGACAAGAATAGCAAGAATGTTCAAGAATAAATCCAAAAAATGTTGGAAATGTCATCAGACACCTGGCTCATATTACCATATGTGGTGGACTTGTGCGGATGCTATAAATATTGGACTAAAATCCACACGTGCTTGGAAAAAATGACAAAAAAATATATAGATTTGAAACCAGAGATATTTTTATTGGGAATTTTACCTGAAATATATAGTAAAGACTTGAAATACCTGATTGTAAATGTATTAACAGCAGCTAGGATTGTATTTGCTAAAAACTGGAAAAATGAGAAAACACCATCATAGGAGGAAATCATTAAGAAAATATTGGAATGTGCTGAAATGAGTAGATTGACATTCGAAATTAGAGAACAAGATGATAAACAATTTTATAAAATTTGGGATCTATTCTATCAATGGTTAGACAATAAAATATAGTAATGAAATATGTAGACTTTTAGAAAATAATAAATATATAAAGATGTATTCTTTTCTTATTATATCTACAAAATGATTCTAGGATAGATTTGGGATGATAATATTAACTGTCATAAAAGAAATTAAGTAAAATATGATTATTTCGTAAAACATGAGTGAATAAAAGTATAGTCAAATGATTGATTAATAATGATATTAATTTAATATTTGACTGAAAATACAAGATTATATACAATGTAATTGTAATTGAAGACTACGAAATGGAAGCACAAAACAATTTGTAAACCAACCAGCACACTGAATGTATATATATGGAAGATGGCTTGATATTTTTATGTTTTGTTTGTTTATGTTTGTTTTAAAAACCAATAAAAAAATTGTTTTTTTAAAAAAGAACCGGTTCTAGGTCTGCTGATGTTTTTGCCCACCCGCCCACCTGGGCTGTTACCTGATCTTTATTTCCTGATTTTTTCAACGTCAGCTGCTAATGATGTGCTAATTATGATTTGTGACGATTTACAGGCACGTGGCTCACAGCGGGCAGGGAAGCTTGTAAATCCCGAACCGGTAGTTAACCCTTTCGTATCTCACCACTGGAGATTACATTTTAATTGGTCAACGACCTCTAGTATGAAGCTCCCCCATTGGTTCTCCAAGTCACCTGACAGATCCAGGTCTTAAGGTCAGGAGGATGAGAGCCAATCTCACCTCAGGAGGTAAGATGTTCCAGAGGGCAGAAGACACAGCAGAGATAGTCTTCTCCTGGATCTAAAAGCTGAAATTCCTGGCTGACAGGATCCAGAGTTTGCCACCTCTACCAGCTTCAACCATAATAACACAAGAGTAAACAATAGATACAAACTCAAGGTTAATCGCACCAAATTCGATTGCAGGAAATACGACTTCAGCAACAGAATGATCAATGTCTGGAATACTCTACCTGACTCTGTGGTTTCTTCCCCAAACCCCCAAAACTTTAACCTTAGACTGTCTACTATTGACCTCACCCCTTTCCTAAGAGTTCTGTAGGGGACGTGCATAAGCGCACCAACGTGCCTACCATCCCTCTCCTATTGTTTCTTTTTTTATTTATTTTTCTTATATGTATCCATGTATTCATAACTATGTTTTTACTTATACCTATTATCTTGTAAGCAATTGACAAAAATAAATAAAATAAAATAAAATAAAACAATAAAATAAAATAAAATAAAATAAAATAAAATAAAGTTACCATCTAAAACAGAGGTGTCAAACTCAAGGGGGTGGATCCAACCCGCAGGGTGCTTAGATCTGGCATGTGGGGCCACCCTAGAAATAGTGAAGGACTGGCCTGTGGTGCCTCTGCCAGTGAAAACAGAGTTCGGGATGGCCCTCCCGAGCTCCATTTTTGCTGGCAGAGGGTTGAAGGAGGCTGTCACAGCCAAAAACAGAGTTCGTGCAATCCTCCTGAGCTCTGGAGAGGGTTGCAGTTTTCTCTGGCAGAGGGTTGCAGGAGGCCATTGCAACTGAAAATGGATCTCGGGAGCCCACACAGGCATGAGTAATGTTGAGCTAGCCATGCCCACCCTCGCCACGCCCACCTGGCCACCCCCCAGGTCAAACAGAACCCTGATGCGGTCCTCAGTGAAATTGAGTTTGACACCCCTGATCTAAAACAACAGCCAATCAATCAGTCTTAGTTGTTTGTCAACTCATAAAATGAGTTAACAAATGGGGGTAACTGCCGGAATCCTGACATTGTTTCCTTAAGAACAACACACTCACATATTTGAAGCATATAATGCCAGTAAATGTAAGACTAGAAAAGATGCTTACACCAAAGGCTTAGAGATGTAGAAGATAACAGATAAGGAGATTTTAAAAAAAATTGGAATTCCCATGAAAGAATTGTAAGTATAGTCCTTGACTTACGATCACAAATGAGTCCAACATTTTTGTTGCTACGTGAGATATTTGTTAAATGATTTTGCCACATTTTACAACCTTTCTCGCCACAGTTAAGTGAATCACTGTTGTTAAGTTAGTAACACCATTGGAAAGTGAATCTGATTTCTCCATTGATTTTGCTTGTCAGAAGGTTCCAAAAGGTGATCACATGATTTCAGGACACCACAACTGTCAGGAATATGAGTCAGTTGCCAAATATCTGAATTTTCATCATGTAACCATGGGGATGCTGCAATGGTCGTAATTTACTTTTTTCAATGCTGTTGTAACTGTCAGTACATGAGCTGTCAGTAAATGAACTGTTGTAAATCAAGGACTACTTGTAATTTCCAAAGACAGATCAAGACAGCAATTCACCACACTATAGTTAACCAAGAACTAAACCTCACATGGATGACCCTAAATCCTAAGGGTATTTGGGCAGTTTGTCTGGCTAGGAAATGTGTCTTTGAGATGCTGTCCAGATTTTTGGCTTTAAATGGATAATGGAATGTGGTTGTTATCGTTTTTGGTCTTATTAGGGTGTAACAATTCTTAAACAATGTCATTTATCTCTAGTATATCTGCTTCAGACATTATTTCATTTTATTGCATCTTCTGGTTATATTGCCTCACTTTTTACAACATTCCTTCCTTGTTTTAATAACACATTATTTGGCAGCAACACGAAGGAATATGTTCCTGACGATCTAATCACATTTGAAAAATTCTTTTGCAGGCTATATAAAACTTATATGTATCCTAATGATTACCCCGTATTCCACAATTTTAGGACAGCCGACCACAACACTTCATAATTATAGCTTGGCAAAAGAGCACCCCACGACTTTTAAAAGCGCTCCAATTTTAAGAGCCACGAACGGGACTATCGTGAGGAGACGCCAGCTAAACAACAAAACCGATAACAAAAATGCCTGCACACACCCCGACGGATTTTGTAATGATTTTATTTTCAAGCGACTTAAATGCAAAAAAAAAAAAAAGGCTACAGAACATCAACAATTCCCTAATACAGCCCGCAGTGTTGCAATGTCCGTTCCCGATGCTTCTGTGGGGACAGCCACGCCCCCCTCGAAACACAGAGGGCCCCGGGCAAGAAGAGAGGGCAGCGTCGCCCGTGACAAAGATGGCTGCGGCGACTGTCAAAGCCTAGGCTTCCCTCACCCGACGGGATCCTACGTCAGCACCTGGCGTCTGAAAAGATCCGGCGAAGAGAGGAGCCCTGTCGTCCACATGAGCCAACACGGACCTCGCGGAGGGAGGAAAATGGTTGAGAAAGCAGAGGGTTTGAGCATAGCTCAGCAGGTGAGGAGAGCGGCCCGCTGCCTTGGCAACTAGATAGAAGACGACCCCGGGGATGCACGGAGCAAAGATGGAGGACCTGGCTGCGGCCTTATTAAAGGGTCAATGTGGGGAGGCGAATTGTGTACCCAAAGGCCTGAAGGGACAACAGAGGTCGTGGGGAAGAGAATTAGCTGCGGGGTATTGGCTGTATAGGCGTGTAGGCTGAGGAAGCCTGCCACGACTCCCCCCTGCCACATTACCAACCCTTTCTTGAGAGCTGAAATCAAATGTCATGACTCAAATCAAGTATTTGAATAATTGAATGAAAAGAAATATATATGTGTGTGATTTTTTTTCTCCCTCTCTCCAGATTTTATCCTCCCCACTTTTTATAAAGAAAGAAAAGCCTGGAGTACAAAACTCTTGCCAGTGAATTTGACCCTTTGAATAACCCAGCTTGATATGTCACATTTCCAGCAGTAGTTCCAGGGCTCTCTTTTTTTAAAAAAAAAAAGGAAAGAAACCTTTTCCTTTTCAAAAAGAGATTGGACAACCATTTGTCTGAAATGGTATAGGGTTTTCTGCCTAGGCAGGGGGTTGGACTAGAAGACCTCCAAGGTCCCTTCCAACTCTGTTATTCTGTTCTTATTCTGTTCTTCAAACTTGACAGCTTTAAGACTTGTGGACTTCAACTCCCAGAATCCCTCCTCCAGTCATGTTAGCTCAGGGATTCTGGGAGTTGAAGTCCACAAGTCTTAAACTTGCCAAGTTTGTAGACTCTTGTTATAGATGAGCAGATTGAAGAATAACAGCATTTTCAGAAACACACCCTTTGGGGAAGGGTGGATTAAAACAAAAAGACTGATACAACACTCCTCCTCCTGGGCTCAGCCAGGAAAACACACTTAACACATTCACACTGCAACCCATGCCAAGGAAAGTAAGCCATTGGTTCACACAACATGCTGAGACTTCCTGGATTTCCTAAAACACACAGTCCCGTTTTAATTTATTCTAGCATAGTTGCATGTAATAAAATAGAATTAATATAGGTACGTGTCTAATAACTTCCAGTTTCATCTGCTATTTGAAATACTAATGGAGGCATTACCTTTGTTTTGAAATGGATAATTCCTTTTTAAATAACACATTCAAAACAGTTATAAAAAATTTGCAATACAATTAAAACAGTGTAAAGCCATAATATGAATGAAGAATAAAACAAGTCAGTAAAGATACTTGGAAGACAAAACATGGATTCCATTTATCTATCCCAACAGGAATAGGCAATTAATCAGTTTTATGAGTTTAGGTTGCCTAACCGTGGCTTTTTGGCTCACTTTATCCCAATCAGGATAACTATTTGTCATGCTTGTAGTTGAACAACATTTAGAAGACCATTTAATTTCTACATATTGTGGTCATTATAAATTGAAGATTATAATTCAGTGCAGTGGCTTCGATGTAAACTTAATGGGGCTTATTTTTGTTTAAATACAACATTACAAAAGATATAACATCCTTACTAGTTTGTGACCTTCTGAAGTTTGTTTCCTGCCTTACTGTATTACTTTAATTGATGGTGTTAAAGTAGGAGAATAAAACACTTCTTTGCTAATAATTGTACAGTGTAGGAATTAGCAACAATTTTGGGTGAGAATCAAGAATTCCAGTTTAGTTCTGATAATGATGCAGCATTACTTATTGGACATACTGAACAAACCACTTTGGAAAAGCTGCAAGTGAATTCCTGTAAGCTAGAAGTGATGGACCTGAAGAGGAACGTAATTGATATTTGCAATAGCATGGATATCAGAATGAACTATTTAGTTTCAGATTGTAGCAGGGGAGAGGTATCAATTTATTTTTTTATTTTTCTCATGCTAAGCCTTTCTGAAAATCATAAAAAAATAACTAGGGCCATTCTATCTGATCCCCAAGTTGTTTATTTCTATTCCATAAGGAACAGTATAGTCCATTTCACCATTTTGGGGTAATAAAATAAGAATTAAATATGTTAGCCTATGGGAATTACCATGGCTTGTAAAATTATTTCATTAGTTCCATTTTTGTATAAATTTACATTTTATCCAGTTTTGAAAAATAAAGTTTAGGTTAGAACCCACGTATATATTGCTTTCTTCTTTATAATTATGAGTATGCAATTTTATTTTTTGTTTGATCTGGGAAGATCAAACAAAAAGAGAACTTTATATGGGGGCAGATAAGAGGAGAATTTATAAAAGCTTCCTGGGCATTCTTCCTCAGGTAGTTAGACCATTTGCTTTTATTTCCATATTTCCTTGTATATTCAAATGTTAAATGTCAATGCATGTCTGAGACAAGGATGGAAATAAAATGTGGATTTCTATGCATTATTTGTTGTGTGGAGGAAGACTCAACATCAAAATCAACTCCCTTGTGATGAAACATGTGGGGCTCTCTGTGCACACTGTTATTCTTTTTTTCCTTGCTATGTTTGTTTCAATCACATTTCTTCCTCCAGTCTTGACTTAGAATTCAGGATATAAAAATGATTTTTAAACCAGAAGATTCTGCTTTTTCCATACTTCCAGCAACCATTCCCACTACTGACATTTACAGTTTCAAGAGTCAACTCACTGGCATTTCTACCCTGTGTTGTAAAATCTTCACCTGATTGCTGCATTTCTTTTGAGCTTTTAAAAACTTGCTTCAGTGAGAGGCCGTGATATGTTGATTTAATCAAAAGAACTTGCTGATCTGAGCAGAGCTACTAAATGTTCACAAATGGGAAACCCTGAAATGAGAATGTAAGGTTTCAAGCTTCACTAATGAAAGTGACACAGCCTGTTTTGCAGTAGCTTTGGTTCTCAATAATACAGGCAAATGTTTTCCTTTGTTGCATAGAAATCTTGTTTAAATCATTGAACAAACTTTTTATTATTATTAACTGTTTCCATCCCCAGTATCCTGCTGATACAATAGTATGAATTCTAATCCCTTTAGCACATAGTATCATTTGATGTCTACATCAGAGGGATTCTTCTGCTTTCAAGGGACTCCTACTCATTCTTTTTGCACATAGTGGTAAAAAGGATGTCTATATGAACAATTTATTAAACACATCATAAATATTGAGTGGAATCTGTATAAACAAAAAGCTTTTAAGAATCTGAACATGATTAATCAATTCCCAATGAACTATCAGAGTCATTCTTAGTTCATGCATCCAGAAAGTTATATCTCACTGTAATCCCAGAATCATCATTCCCTCTAATAGCAAGCTTGATAGCTTCATTGAATTAGAATGTTGGTTTAAAATAAATAAATATGTATGTATGTATGTATTTATGTATGTATATGTATGTGTGTGTGTGTGTGTGTTTTCTGAGGTTTTCGCGGGTATTTGTATGTGGATCTTTGGTTATTCAGGTTTTCTCCCGCATAAAATTGGAAGTATTTTATTATTAATATTACTTCCAATTTTATGCGGGAGAAAACCCGAATAACCAAAGATCCACACAGACAGACAGACAGACAGGCAGAAATATATATATAATCATTTTTAAACAGCAGCCTAATCAACAACCAATCTGTTTCAATAATATTCTCAGTATGTTTGAACTGCATCTTTCATCATTCCCAGATACCACATTCATGGGTTAGGGATGATGGCAGATGATACCTTCGGAAACTCTTCCAATGTAAAGGAATTCTAGGAGTTGTAGCCACATCATTCCTGGAATCAATCTAATGGGGATATGTGGTACCCCTGATAAATTTCAGAAGAGGAATTTTGGAATATGCAGAAGCACAAATGAAACACCTTTCTACAACTCATTAAAAGAGCTGTATCTTTTTCATGAATTGTGGGGATGCAGTAATAATTTATTCACCCATAAATTATTCTTCAACTAATGTATTCATCAAGGTATCATTTGATGTCTACATCAGAGGGATTCTTCCGCTTTCAAGGGACTCCTACTCATTCTTTAATACCAGTGTATGTTTGCACTGATCTAAAAAAATACATTACTTTTTTTAGTAATGTCCAGTTGTAGTAGACATTAGCTTTTATAAACCCAAACCACCATAAACTATATTAGCCCCACTGATGGGAACTTGTAGTGCAGTCAATGTGAAGGGTGACAGTTTGGCATCATGAATTCAAATTATGATGTTTAGACAAAATTTTAAGATTTTTTTGGGGAAAGCTATGATCCCTATTTGCTTATTAACAATACTTTGGAGAAAGTTGTTACTAAATACAGTGAAATGTATTTTGATGAAAAGACAATGAAACAAAAATATAAGTAATACAATTGGAAGTGGGCTAACACTTAAACAACATATACAGTCAAGCACGAAGTGGCATTTGGAGGCTGTTACATGTTGGCAATATAGCATTTTGACTCAAAATATATGATTAATTTCAGATCTTATGGTGAGTAACATTTAGCAGTTTTCTCCTATTGTTACTAGACCTACCTAGGGCTCTGCTGATTACAGAAGTATAGCACATATTTCTCAGCAGATGATTTCAATTAGAACACATAAAGGGAAGTCCAAAAAAAGGTTTAAAATATACATAAAATTAAAAATCTGAATTTGTAGCAGGAACCCATTTTCTTCCCTGCTTTTACTTCTGGGTTTTTATTTGTTTTTTTTTGTTTTGGTACCCTTTTGCTTAATTTTAAATGGTTGCCTTCTTGGGGTAGTTATATCTTCTTTTGTACTGTTGAACAGTTACATAATAGTTGACGTTTTCAACTTTTGCTACAATTTCCCTATAAACATAAGAACATATGTTTATTTCAAACATTTATGCTGGTTTCTTTGGCTACACTGTAAGATACTATCTGTATGAATTAATACTTCACTGCAGTCATAAGATGAAGTAGATATTGAAGTAATGTTGTTCACATGACATGGATAAGAGAGGGTTAAATAAGCATCTCAAACTCCCCAATGGAATTAATCAACCATTAAAACCTGAGGGTATTAAATTTAACACCAAACATACATGTTATTTGAAGTTA